CACTGGCTGAAGTGGTCCTGCAAAACTGCCATGGGCTGGAGTTACTTTTCTTTAGGGAAGAAGGAGGTTTATGCATGGCCATGGGAGAAACACATTGCTTCTATGCCATCCATACAGGTGTTATTAAAGAGAGCCTAACGAAAGTTAAAGAAAATCCCCTCCCTAGAGAGGAGGAAAGAAAAAGTTCCGACTGGTACAAATCACTTTTCTACTGGTCCTCCTGGGTGACAACCCTCATCACATGTCCAATAGGTCCCCTAACCCTTCTGTTTCTTGTTTGCTGTTTGCCCCCTGCATTATCAATGCCATTGCATGCTTTGTTCAAGATCAGATATGTGCTGTCGAGCTCATGATTTTAAGGGCACAGTACAACACCTATTCGAGCCCTTAGACAAGGATTCATTGCATTAGTTACAAGACAAGGGAGAATGAAGGGAGCAGGCAAAAGCACGTTGGCCTGAGTACTGCCATTTTGACTTCAGACTCCATTTTACCTGTAGGGTGAAATAAAGTTCAGGTTCCCTGGCCCTAGGGGAGCTGAGAACTTTCTAATGGCTGACCAACCCCTGCCCAAACCATAGAAATAGTCTTTATGCATCTTTAGTTCTCTAGAAACATTATGGCTATTCCTAACCACAGAAGAAACAAATGAATCTGATTGATTGGACTGAACAGCTTGCATTGTATGTCGGTTGACAATGATGGAACACACAAAGAAAGTCCCTAATCTTCAACTTGTGACTGGTGAAAATTGTAACTCTAACTTGGCAGAAAATGTTTGTGACTTTTATGTTTATAAACCCCACTTCTGCCCTGTTTGGGGCTGTCAGGAGAAACAAGGCTCCTGTGTCCTTGTCCTGCAGCCCTGATAGCTCAGTGATGTGATTGTATGGTGATTTAACAAAATCTTTGGAACCAATAAGTATTGTCTCTCTCCTTCCTCATGGGGCATAATGGACTAGGTATAACAAAATTTCCACAATAAAATGTTCCATAGAAAAAGCAAACAGCAGGAAGCAACTGTACAATATGATATCATTCATATAATGTTTAAAAAGATAGGCTGGATGGTGTTGGTGCATACCTTTAATCCCAGCACTTGGGAGGCAGAAGCAGGCAGATCTCAGTGAGTTCAAGGCCAGTCTGTTCTACTAGTTCCAGAACAGCTGTGACTGTTACACAGAGAAAGCCTGTCACAAAAAACCAAAAAACAAAAACAAAACAAAACTTAAAAACATATTGGCCCTTCTCTGTATTGCATATTCATATATACATAATACATAGGTAAACAAGAGTAAATTCAGGACAGAATTATACATGGGCAGGCTTAACAACAACAAATCAAAACAAAGACCCTACCTAAAGCAACTAGGTAAAGTACTGAAGTTTGACAAGGTGGGATTGTTAAAGACTTCCCACTCACTCTTCTGGAGACTTCCTATTTAATACAATGAAACAGAGGGAAAGCAGAACTGCTGCAGGTTCCTAAGGTCAAACACATACTGAAGAAGTCTCAAAAATAAGACAAGAAAGGAAAAGAAAGAAATTTAGCAGGCACAGGCACACTGAGGCACACATGAATGCCTGGGCATGTATACACATACACAAATAAGTGAATATCATAAAATTATTTTAAAATAAAATTTAAAAGCAACAAAAAAGAAAGTTAACTTCAAAGAAAACAAAATATGGCAATAAAATTATACAATCATGTTATGTGGCTCAGCAAGTAATGTTATTTACATATTTATATATAGATACAACTAAAAATTGTAATCTTAACTTTTCTATAAGTCAATAGCTCCCAAAAATTAAAAGTGGGAAATAATCATTTTATGTTTTCAGGAAAGTACAAGAGCTTAGTAGGCACTGTTATGTAAACCCAAGGACCTATGTTCCATCCCACAGTCCACATTTGAAAAGCCAGGGATCTGGCATGCTTAAATGGAAAAGCAGAAAGGTGGATCTCAGGGACACTGGCCAGTCAGCCGGGCCTAATGGGAAAGCTCCAGGCCAAGGAGACCAACAAGGTGGAATGACACCCAAGGCTGACTGCTGGCCTCTCTACTCACAAGTGCATGCCTTCCACAGCACATGTGTGCGCACACAGGCTGAAAACAATGTCAGAAGTGGTTCAGCTGGAAACAGATAAGGTGGGGTGTGGCAAGGAAATGTTAAAGTCTTATAATACTTTAATAGTATAATGACTTTTAATAGTATAATGACTTTTATAATAGTTTAAAGGTCAATAGTATATTGACTTTTAATAGTATAATGGGAGCTGTAGAAATGAAATTGGAAGAAAAATACATATTCATAATAAAAATAAAGTATGCAGAAAAACACAAATGAACTATAAATTTACAAATCTCAAACAACCAGAGAAAATATGTCTAATTTTTAAATCATTCGGCACTTGGTCTATGTATTATAGGAAAGTTAGGCTCTTACAAACTACATATGCTGCTTTGTAATTAAACTGTTTTGCCAACACTGAGGCAGTGTAGCTCACCTTGAATTTCAGACAGGGACTCTTATTGGTCTGGAGCTTATGGGACTAGGATAGACTGACTGGCCAGCCTGTGAGCCCCAGAGATCCCCTTCCCTACTTCCCCACTACTGTTATTACCAGGGAACTGCACCACATCCAGCTTTTTGACATGGGTGCAATGATGATTTCTTTATAGCAATTACACATTTATCTATCCAGACCAATTTTTAATATCATTTTTACCAATGTCCTTTTGGTACAGGGCTAGTCATATAGAACACACACAGCAGGGGGGGGCGGGTGCGGCGCAGCACACCTTTAGTCCCAGCACTCAGGAGGCAGAGGCAGGATGATCTCTGTGAGTTGGAGACTAGCCTGGTCTATAAGAGCTAATTCCAGGACAGCCTCCAAAACCACAGAGAAACCCTGTCTCGAAAAACCAAAACAACAACAACAAAAAACAAAACAAACAAAAAAAAGAACACACACAAATTTTGTGTTTTTGTTATGTGCCAAGTGCATGTATGTGAATGGTATGCCTGTATGTGCAGGTCATAGGTCAACCTCAGTGCTGTTCCTCAAGAACTGTCTACTTCGTTTATGAGACAAGGTCTCTTCCTGGGACAGGACACACCAACAAGAATGGTTAGGCTGGGTGGCTAGGATGCCCCAGAGCCTGCTGCCTCTGTCTCCCGAGCAGTGGACTTTAAGCACCCATCCCCATGCCTTTTCACACGGGTTCTGGGGTGGAACCTGGATCCTAAGGTTTGCATGGAAAGCATTTTATGGACTAAGCTATCTCCTCAGCCTTCCCTTTCTTTAAGACAGAGTCTCACTCTGTAGCACAAGCTGTTCTCAAATTCACAGTAATCCTCTTGCCTCAGCTTCCCAAATGCTGAAAATGCAGGCATGAGCCTTATACTTGAATTTGGCAAATCATTTACCATGCCGGGGTCTGATGCCAGAATTAATATATTTTTTTTAACCTAATTCTGTTTAATGAGATAGAAGGAGCACCAGACTTGGATACAGGAGACCCAAGTCTAACTCCTACAAACAACGAAGAAATGATCTGATTTCTCAGAAAATACCTCTTCTCCACATATGGATAAGGGATGACAAATATTTCATAGATTTGTCCCAGAAGACCCCCATTATACCTCTGGAGCATAATGGCTGCCCTTCTACCCAGTGCACTTACTTCATCCACAATTACTCACAGAATATTTTAAAAAGCCAGGTATGGTAGCATGTGCTTATTATAATACCAGCATAAGAGAAGCAGAGATGGAGATTCCTGAAACTTGATGACCAGCCAGCCTAGCCTATTTGGCAAGTTCTAGGCCAGTGAGTAAACCTGCTTCCCAAAATGCAATGGACAACATCTGAGGAACAACACCCAAGACTGGCCTTTGGCACACGAGATTGTCCCTTCCATGCATACACGTGAGCAAGAACACTCAAATACACAAAAAGAAATTAGCTTGCATATCCAACAAGAATTCTTTTTGCCTAGAAAATATATATTTTCACAGTATATTATTAAAAGTCAGGTTATACTAGAAAGTAAACAGCTGTTCTTTCATAGCAACAAGATTATCTTCACTTTCTTCATAATGCTCTCCAGAATTTTCTTTAGGAAATTAGTAACTACTTTTAGAGCTGGAAAAAGCATTATACTCTTAATAATAAAGGTATATAATAAAGGGTATAATAAAGCTTTATACTTTTGATCAAGGGGTTAAAAATGCAGCTTATTTGGTAAAGTGCTTGCCTAGCTCTGAGTTCAATCCACAGCACAACAGAAACCAGTATGGTATAATCCTAGCACTCAGAAGGTGGAGGCAGGATGATGAGAAGTAGGAAGTCAGATATATAGGGGGGGGGGGGGGGGGGGGGAGAGAGAGAGAGAGAGAGAGAGAGAGAGAGAGAGAGAGAGAGAGAGAGAGAGAGAGAGAGAGACTTTTGAGCAGCAGAAATCAAAAGATCCATTTTGGACATGTCTAATGTTGGATAACCATTACACAGTATAGGCAAATGTAAGACCAGACCCATAAGTGCTGTTTTGGTGCCAGCCAGATATCAACCTGGGAGGTATAAATGTAGTAAGTTAAATGTCATAGGACTACATGACAATTCCTAGGGTGTGAAACAGATGGAAAAGAAGCAGGTGAACACCTCTGATCCCAGCCACTATCTGGAAACAGGGATGAAGGGGAAAGATCAATGAGATGCCCCAGAAGCCAAGGGATATTTGTTCCCTGTTGGAGACAGTGATCCCATGAGTCTTCCTTAACCTGCTGCATATTAAGATTTATTATGAACCTGTCAACTAAGAGGCCTAGTCATTTAAACAAACACACTACTTCAAGTGGCATTATGATAGCCACTTACTTCCCAGAATGGATAATTTTCCCTCCTGCAACACAGGCTCTTTCTATTAATGAACATTCAGCAATGGAAACCATTGTGGAGAAAACCCAACACCTAGACAAGTCAATTTTCCTACCTGACATAATATCTTCTGCTAATTCCTTTTCTCTTTCAATTTTTTCCTCTAGAGTCGAAATGCAGAATTCATAGCCAGCAAGGGCAAATTCCTGTCTGGAAACAAGTATCAACAATCAGTCAGCTGTGCTCACCTTTTCTCCAACTCCTCTTTATCCTCATAATTACAGCCCTGCTCTCAGCATTATGAATAGGGGGAAGTTTGTATCTCTGGGCTGTCAATCTGCATTTCTCCAAAGTTTGTTTGCTTTCAAGTCATTTATTTAAGGTAAATTAAGGGATGCTGCCAAGATTTTCATTGCTGTATAACCACTAGTCTTTCATTATCTCCCGCTATAGAGTTTCAAGTCTGTCTCTCCACATGACAAAGCCCTACCCTGAGGCTTGGGCTTCTGGCCCTGAGCTTCCCTACTGTTGCCATCATGCACTTCTGGGAAATTTTAGGGCTGAACATTTCTCTCCAAGTGTGGTTTGACTTAAAAATATTTTTTTTTATTCTATGGAAATCAAAATACTAGCCATATCATAGGAAGGCTTGAAGTACAGTCCTGGGCCCTGAGACAAATTGAGGAGACACACAAGCACCTGGATTGATGCTGGAAAGCATCTACAGAGCTGCAGAGGAACACGAAGAAATTCCTTGAACGCTGGTTCTTGCTCTTCCACATTGGGTCTACTTTCTTACCACAACTGACATTGTAAAGTTCATCCTTTCTCGTCTATTGCTTTGCCAGGAAGAATCTGATTAGCCACCGTTCTACTGTATTTTCAGAAAAAAGCATCTTCTTCCTTCTCCAGTCCCAAACTTGGTAGAAGAGACACCTTCAGCCCCATGGCAAGAGGGTATGCCACAAGATGCTGTCTAAGTAAAAAGTCTACAGACAACTCTCTCATCAGCCTTTTACTTGAAGTACCCAGGGCTCACACATGCTAGGCAAGTACTCCAACACTGACCTATACCCCAACACTCAGCCTCTCTAAGCCCACAACCTGGCAATGTGTTTTCTTACCTCATGTTTCCCTTATTTAAAAAACATGAAAAAAGGAATTTAAGAACTAATTGTTAATAGATACTTCCAGCTCCATGAGACTTATCTGTCTTATTTTTCAGCAGTCATCATTTATTTGCTTTGAGCTTCTATTTGTCAGAGGAACAGAGACATCATTAACATCTAGTCCTTTAGGATGCTACTGTCCATGGCACAGTTGCAATGTTCTCTGACACCAGCCAAAATAGAACCTTAAGATTTAAGTCAAGAGCTATGTTGTGTTTTATTTCTGTAATCCAGGCTAGCACACATTACAAAATAAGCCCCAATCTCAAACCCCCGCAAAGACTTGAAGTCAAAGTCCCACAGCTTATCTAGTGCCCAGTCAACATTCAGAGAGACTAAGCAGGCTGATGAAAATGGAGTTGTTGACTAGAACACAGGCCAGGGTTGGGACCTCTACCCCAAAGAGCAACTTTTTTGAACTGCATCCAGATTGATGTGACATCAAATGTCTGGCATTAACTTCTGCAGCAGTTAACAATCTAAAGGAAACCAGCCTTATTTCTCTCCCCAAACCCACTCCCAAAACAGAACTCTCTAGAGATGTTACAGATTTACATACCATGTGTTCCCCCTTCAAGGCCTACCTAGAGACAAAGGAATGAAAGGTTGTGCCAGGTAACATTTTGTCATCTAGAACTAAGGGAAAACAACTAAGATGAAGGAGCAGCTGAAACAATACCCTTATACTGGCTTCGTAGGCAAACATGGGGCATTTTCTTGACTGATGATTGATATGGGTGGTGCCTACACCAGGTGATCCCAAGGTCTATAAGAAAGCAAACTGAGCAAGCCAAGAGGAGCAAGCAGTGAGTGGTGTTCTTCCATGGATTCTGCTCCAGTTCCTGCATCCAGGTTTCTGCTTTGAGTTCCTGCCCTGACTTCCCTCAGTGGTATTGTGTGACTTAACAGTTGTAAAATAAAATAAACCTTTTCCTACCCAAGTTACTTTTGGTCACGGTGTTTTACTACAGCAAAAGCAACCCTGACTAAGACAGAAATTGGTACCAGGACTATGGGGTATGGCTGAAAGACCTGACCAAGTTGTTTTAGGGACAACTGTGG